CTCATTAGTTTATTGGAAATTTGGGGGAGATATTTCACTCATAATCTATTCTATCCTAGACTAATATCCTCCAAAAATTTGGGTGAAATCGGACGAAAAATAACAAAGTTCGTTTCTGAGGGGGGCCCCCTTAAGCACTTATATACTATGCCTTCATATCACTTCTTATATAAAGTGAATTTAAGTCATCTCGACTCCAACCCAACCCAACCCAACTCAACCCAATCCAGATCAAACTAACATACACAAGTATACTATATCTTCTTATCGATTTCCATATCAAAATGAATTTCCAATACATTTTAATCCTAACAAACTCAAACTTCATCCACTTTCACACAATGAATTGAATTTCCAGGAAATTTATTTTATGAGTATTTTATTTGAATTTCCTGGAAATTGGATATTACCATCGCATGCAAAAAGCATAATATTTCTTGATAAAGTTTCTTTGTTGTTTCATTTTCTATGTTAATTAAGAAAGAAATCCTAAAATTTAATTTCTAGATTGTCTATGTACATCAGAAGCTGCATTTGTTAATAGAATATTTTCAAAAACATGTTGCATTCAATAGATAGCCTTATGTAGTGATTGGCGAACATTATTAACAGGCTATTTTGTTGAACATCGTTTACAAGGAAGTTCAAGTTGATTAATCAGAAACAAAAGCTTCATCAATAATTATTGTTGCTAAACATTCATTCCGTATGTCAAATGATTTTTCAAAAAATAAAAAAAAAAATAAGTGCTTAGGTAAACTGCGTGCACCTAATGTAATCAATAATCAATGGATTATTGAGTTAAATTGGTAACCGCCATCTTTAATTGGTGGTTCACCAATAGCAGGTTATGTAATTAAACGACGAACTACTCGAAATTATAAATTGCATGTAAACTAAAGAAATTTTTTTCTATTATTTTACCTTTGAAATATTATATTCAAGCTCAAAATTTAGCTGGCTTTGGTGAACCATCGAATTCTACTAAAGAAACTAAAATATGAGAATCGATTATTGGTGAAAAATCAAGATTTATTCAAAAACTGGAAGTGATAATAGTCATTAATGAACGACCTGTTATACTAACTGCTTGTGTTGAACATGATCGAACATCTGAATTTAAATATAAACTATAGCAAAGAATGCAGGTACTTATGAATTAATAGCTAAGAATACTCTGGGTTCAATTGTTTGTACATTTTATGTAAAATATTCTTTTTACAAAAAATATTTAATCATAATTTTTTTTTCTTGTCTTTTTGAATTTTATCATCACCAATCAATATTACTATTGGTTAAATTTCATATATTTCACTTGAAGTTACTGGATGTCCTCAGACAACTATGATTTGTGAACCAGCACATGATCGAACATGTGCTGAACAATCAAATACATTTGTCATTGTATCTATACCCAAAAATTCATGTAAATGAAGGTAAAATTTATAAATTAATATAAAAAAATTCTGGCTGATTCAACTGCAACATTATTTGATGTTCATATTCACACTGTTTCACAACCAGAAAGGGTCTTTCACAATATGTTCGATGTCAACGTCTTTTAAGTCGAATATTTAATTATGAATTTAATTGTTTAATAAAAGAATCGAAATATACATAATAAGAATATCAACAGAAACTAAATTAGGTTCATCTGAACCGACAAAAATAATTGTATTATATAGTTTGCATAATATTGCATTTAAGAATTTATTTCATTTGAATAGATACTACCAGACTATTATTGAATCTGATTACAAATAAAAGTTTATATCTCAATTTTTGATTAAAAAATATAAATTTGTATTCTTTATTCAACACTAAAATCTGAGTAAATATTGCCCATATTATGATGGCCTTCAGGAATATATTCAAGTAACATCGGAAAATAACGTTCTGCTCTTTCGTAATCGCCTGTAGCTCTGAGGGCTATACCTAGACTACGTAAATTCCCTTTATCACAAAATCTTTGCTCTAAATCATTTCGAAGTTTGCTCATATCACTGTCATCTTCGCCTAATATTAATTGAACATACCAATATCCACTGACGAGTCGTTGATCTTCAACATATTTGATACGAAATATGGATGCAATCGAAAATACTACTTCATCTTCATCAGAAAATTGACTTGACTCATTGATTGAAGCAAATGGTTTCTTGATCATTGAACGAGTAGTGTGCACTTCAATTTCAAATAGCATGGATAACATCTTATCATCTTCACCTGAGCCAGAATACATTTCGGTGACATCACAAGTTATAGTTGTAGAAAAGAACGTATTCACTGACATTAAATGCCCAATATTATTCTTGATACTATTAAACTCTGAACCAGTCATCACTTGTCCACGAAACACCGTACGTAGAAGTTTATCACGAAACTGTTCGGAATGTAATTTTTGTAAATGTTTGTACATATCGGCTAAGAAAAATCGAAAGATAAATAATAAATCAATATTCTCAGTTCGAAAAGCCCGATTAAATAGACGATATAGAAATGAATCATTTGTATAAAATTTTAAAGCTTCACTAGATTTATAATTTTTCTCAAAATTGATCAGATTCTTTTCTGCTTTGGCACAATCTTTCTTTACTTCTGCATCCATCATATCTTCATCGATCTTTTCATCGCTATCCTTATTGCCAGAAATTCCAAAATGTTTTCGACATCCATCTAACATTTCATCTTTAACTTGGTCATTATGTGGGATTTGGATAAGAATATCAATTAATAATTGAAACTATAAAAATTTCACATTGTCTTTTTTTAAATCTTGAACGGTTTTTTCATTTTTATCTCGATGAAAGACGCTTAACGGCACTTCGAAATAATTTAAACAATGTTTGTATTCTTTTGATAATTCTACAGGCAAACTCTGAATATCCGGAATATATTCTATTCAGTTTTCGATGGGAAAACTGTGATTTTCCAGTTAAATCTGCTTCAGTTTGCAGTACATAAATAGTAATTACTTGGCAACACTCGACGACCTTTTCTACAACCATTTGATTATTTGAATGGAAAGAAATATTAAAAAAAACTTGTATCAGCAGAGGATTTAATCATATCAATAGATTGATCAAGACTATAAAATATCCTTAACGGAACGTTTATGTCGGATATAGATGATGTATCAATTGTTGTACTATTTTTTTTTGTCTACTAGCTAAATAATTCGATATGTGTCGAGATTAACTGATTCTTGGATTAAAAGCTTGGTTTTCGTTTAATCGACTTGACTACATTCATTGGTATTAAATCTTGTCGAAATATATCAATATCTTTTAGTAATTGCTTATTGATATTTGGTGAATCTTTTTGAACAATAGCTCGAAGTTTTGAATATCATATTGTTATATAGGGTATTCTCTCTGGTGATCGAGAATAAATATAAAAATAGACAATTTGTGGTAAATGATGAATTAATTCGATTGGATAACTGAAATGATCAGTCAATATCAAGAAAACTTTTCGCCATCGATACGATGTAATGAAATCTATACATTTATCGGCATCATAAAACATTTTATAACTTGTTTCCGCTATGACCGTGTCAATATCGTTCTTTTCCAATATTCTCCACAATTGCATATTTTCTCCCACATCATATCGTTCGTCTAAATGAATTCCAATGAAATCTTTATTACCATATTCTAACTCTGGAATTGCATCTGTTGGTATAGCGGTGATTTTCCATGATGTCATCTTGAGAACTATTGGAAAAAATTCAAATATTGTCAGATAGAAATGGCTTAGACGAAATTTATGGTTGTTTTTCTGTGCAAGCTTTTTTAAATTTACATGTATATACATATGTAAAGTGACTTATGAAAAAAAAAATTGACTGAAGAGAAGAACAAATAAATTCAGTGTACTTTTTATTTTTTCTTAAGATAAACCTTTTAAAAAATGATGAATATGCGCATTTTTTGTTTGAAAGGAAAATGGCACAGTATTTTTTTCTAGACATATTCAAAAACATTCCTTCAGTGATGTTTAATACCGATCATTGACATCTATGCCACGATTTTTGAAAGAGTTAGGAAATCAGATAGACATTTTGATCATACAAACGTTTGTCTATTTGAAAAACTGAACATATTCATTGAATAGCGATAGTTATTTATTGAGAATTCTTCTAAAGTCGATCGAATCGTCTAAAGTTGTTCATCGAAATCAAAGAAAGACTTCATACTATCGAAAGATTTTCGCAATAATCTTCTACGAATCAATGTCATTTCGTCTGATCTTTTTCAGCATCGATAGATTTTCAAATCCATCGGACTTCGAAAATTTTACCTCTGATCGACATTCGCTCTACAATCGATTGAGAAAACTATGAACAAAAATCTCTCATAGAGGGTGTGGGTGTGGAGTGTGAGTGTCTCTGTTTATAAAGAAGAAAACTAGACCCACATAATACTTTTGTGTTAGATATTGATATCACTCTATTTCTTGATAATTCAAAAGTTATTGCTTTTTCGTTAAAATTTACAGTAGAAAACATACATAAATACAGATAATCGCAGATATATATATATGCATCTAAAATTTGAATCTTCAACTTTCTACTTTCAAACCGAAATCACATTGAAGAATCATCAAGATTCAATCGTAGCATTGAGGAGTCGATGGAAGAAGTTTCAGGAAGCATGATAAACAGAGAGTGACGCACACCGATGGGTGAATTAGACGTAGTTTAGGTGAAAAGACCTCTAAATTGTATTGTCGAAACTTGAAAGTTGAAAATACAAAATTTTATTTGAAATCTGAGATTTCAAATTTTAAGTTTGACAATATTCTATTGAGGATGAATGTTGATCTTTTCTTCGGTTCTCTCTCTAGTATTATTTTCATTTTTTGTTAAAATAAATTATAAAAAAAAGAACTAATTTTTTACAAACAATTCAAGAAAATACCAGCAAGAATTCGAAGATAAATGAGCAAAAGACTTTTGTTGATAAACAAGTGGATACTTCTTTTTCAATTAAAAACCTTCAAACAAAATTTACTTCATGTTCTGTAATACATCGGATATTATGTATTTTAAATTTCGCTTGGAAAATATTATTTGTTAACATTAACACATTAGTTTTATCACCAGAAATTTAGCAGTTGAATCGGTTTTTTTTATCTATAATAACTTTCATAGAATAGTTTTGTTAAAAACAGAAGTGGAAAGATGATTTCCATTATGTTTGAGAATCCAATCGAAAAAGATCAAATCCGTTTTCGAAGAATTCAATAAAGATCTCTCTATGATTTCGATTTTCTCTACACGACATGAACAAATGAAAACTCGACTATAATCATCGACAAATTGAGACATTGTGAGCTTCCACCAATAGATTAATTCTTCTCTGTCGTCTTGCTTGATGGTCGACTATTTATATTTTTTGTGTTCTGTCCTAACTATTTTCTTGTTCTTCTGTTTCTTCAGGCATTTTTTTTTCTTTCTTTCATTGTTACATGTATGCTCTACTCAAAGAGGCGATAAGTTATGGTGAAGTATCGACAGTAGGAACATTTTTTTTTCTTATAGGGATACTTTAAAATAATTAGGCATTTTATTTAAGGATGGAATTATTTTCCATTTTGATATTGAACTAATCTTCTGAAATTCAGTATTTATTGGTACCAATGAATAGTACGATATTTGAAAAACAACTAGCTCCAGTACGAATTAATGTGTGAGAAACAACAATGAGAACTGACGTATTGAAAATAGTTTTTATGAACATATAAATAATAAACCAATAAAAGTGACATCTTTTTCCTAAGAACTATTTTAATTCAATACATACAGAGATTTTTGTAGAAATAATCGAATATCTTTCTACTTTTTTGTGTTTGATATTTTAGATAGAAAAACTTATTTGCTCCATAGATGGCGACTTTTGCTTATCTTTTGCCAACACATAGAGTCATCTTCCAGGACACTCAATTTTCTATATAACTAATTGGTATTGAGATTGATTATGCTATTTACATGTTATTAATCTAGAAAAAAAAATGTTATAGATTAGACAATGTATAAATAATAAAATTCTCTCGAAATGATACCTACCACAACATCTATATTTTTTTGTATAGAGTTTCGCGAACTGTAGAAAAAAAAGAAAATATTTCGAGAATGTTGCTTTTTTCTATATCTCTATAAAAAATAATTGAAATTTGAAAATTATTCTATCTTTACTACTAAGATGAAGAGATGAAACATAACTTTTACTGTTGCCTTCTTTTAATTTTTTCTAGTTATTCTTTTATTTGTTTATTTAAAAGATTATCACAATGGAACTGCACGACGAACCAAAATCTGAAAAGATGGTTATGATAGATAATGCATCTGTCTCAGTTGTCAAATCTTTATCTGCAACTAATGATTCGAAAATCAGACGAATACGAAAAAATCTCTTAATTATACTCAGCATTTGCCTGGTGAGATTTTTTTTTCTATTTCTTATTTGCTATTGGGTGATCATTTGAAGTAGTTTTTATTTTGATTACTTTCTGTATTTTAAATGTAATTCAATTAAAATCGAATAAGAAAATTTTTCAAAAGAAGTTTCTTCATATTACTTTTAGAATAAGATCATCAAGAATAATTATTGACAGAAATATAGAGGAAACATTAGTCCCAAAAATTCTAGTAATGTTTATAATCTTGCAAAATTTCCAAAATAATGATGACATGTATTAATATTTTTGTTTTTGTCAATATGATTGTATTGTTTAGGGCCTTACGGGAATGATTTTAATAACTACATATTTTTTTCAAACAGCGGTTTTTCCTGATTCAAAATATGGTTATTTATACTTAGTCGTATTAATTGGTGTGATTCTTATTTTGATTGTGTTCTACAGTTTTGGTATATTCGTCACTTCTCGATATCATCATACGGGTCTACGCGTGGTATGTTACATATTTCAGTAACTGAATTGTTAGTAATGAATCATCAGATTTGAATAGCATGTGGGTGTGAATTCGTTAGTGAATTTAATAATTAGTGCTAATCTTCTCATATCGTAATTTTTGATATCCAAATCTACTGTTTATTTTCTTTTATATAGTCCACTCAAATTGAAAGATTACCCTTTCGAGATTTTGTGCTTTCGTTGTCATAACTTGTTTGTTTTTAAAATTTTATATATATTGGGAGAAAGCCCGGAAGACGCTGCGTCTGATGGTATACTTAGGGTTATCCAAAAGTAGTGGGCCAGGTTCTTTTTTTTCTTATAAATAGGTAAAAAGAAATTTCTTTTTTTACGAATAGATAGAGCGTCTTTCGCTCTATCTTTCTATGCTATTTGATCACTATTCAACTGGTATCATAATAATAAAATTTCGATAAGAACTTTTTTTGTGTAACTCCAGCTGGTAGCAATAGTGCATATTATCATCCATGCGTGTTTTCTTTGTTTTTTTCTCATCATCTAATAGGTTTTATCAAAAAACAAAATACAGCACAAGATGCAGCGTAAAAAGCTCTACAATTTACATACGACCACTTTTTTTATAGTTGCACTTTTTGTTTTCAAATTGGACAAAACTTTGAGCGACCAAATTTTGACCGTGCGAAAATTGGTAGCACAGAATTTTGCTTTTTTTGAAAACAATTACAATAAGCTTTACTATGTAAATTGTAGAGCTTTTCACGCTGCATCTTGTGGTATATCTCGTTTTTAATAAAACGTATTAGATGATAAAAATATGAAATAAGAAAAAAGAAATTTCTCTTTTGTGTAGAAAAAAATGATTTTTTTGCAACGGCGAAAACTGGTCGCACAGAATTTTGCTTTTTTTGAAAACAAAAAGTACACAATTAAAATAAACTGTTTTTTGTAAATTGTAGAGCTTTTCACGCTACACCTTGTGCTGTATTTTGTTTTTTAATAAAACCTATTAGATGATGAAAACACGCATGAATGATAATATGCACTATTGCTACCAGCTAGAGTTGCACTAAAAATGTTTTTGTCGGAATTTTATTATTATGATACCAGTTGAATAGTGATCAAATAGCATAGAAAGATAGAGCGAAAGACGCTCTATCTATTTGTAAAAAAATAAATTTCTTTTTACCTGTTTATAAGAAAAAAAAGAACCTGGCCCACTACTTTTGGATAACCCTAAGTATTTATCTTAAAACAACAGATGCAGTTTGAAGTATAAAAAGGGAATTTGAAAATATAGTAAAATTTTTTGTTTTTCTACCATACATTCACATTTATTATTTGTTTGAGAAATCAATAAGAGTAAGAATTTTTAGAATAACTTCTGATAGAAACAAGATAGAGACCTGTGGTTTTCACCATTCGAAAGAGGAGATGAAGCTGCATTGGATCTCATATTTCAGATGTTCCTAATAACTTTTATCGGAAGGTTTTAGCCAAGTCTTTTGAAAATTTGACTGTTTCCCGTATTCTTTGAGAAAAACCCATTTTCTTCTCTCTATAAGCGGCAAAATCTTGAAGGACTTGACTAAAGCCTTCCGGTAAAGGTTATCAGGAACATCTAAAATATGAGATCCAATGCAGCTTCATCTCCTCTTTCGAATGGTGAAAACCACAGGTCTCTATCTTGTTTCTATCAGAAGTTATTCTAAAAATTCTTACTCTTATTGATTTCTCAAACGAATAATAAATGTGAATGTATAGTAGAAAAACAAAAAAATGTTAGTATATTTTCAAATCTCCTTTTTATACTTCAAACTGCATCTGTTGTTAAACATAAATATATCATCAGATGCAGTGTCTTCCGGGCTTTCTCCCTATATATCTAAAATTTTAAAAACAAACAAGTTATGGTAACGAAAACACAAAATCTTGAAGGGTATACTTTCAACTTGCGTGGACATTAGTCTAACAAAATCTATATCTATATAATGTCTAGTGTCTGTTTCTCTGTGCCGGATTAAACGTTGGATCAGGGTGCGAGAGAAAAAGTCCAAGGGCTATTATATGAGGTATCTAGTGGTCTTTAAGATTCATCTATTGGAAAATCTATGTGTCACCAAGGGTCGTACTATGAGGGGATCGTACTAGAAGAGCTGCAATGGTATATAAGGTCATAAGAATATATGACTCTTACTATACGAAAAGTTAAAGCTTTGAGATCATACGATAAAAGAAAAAACAGTCGTACAGTATGCACGAGCTCATGCTAGTATAGAATATCTGAAACACATTAACATAAATCATGCTTTGAAAATTAGAATATGCATCACAGTTATATCTAAAGCAGTTAAAACACTTTAAAAACAACCGACTTCGAAAAATTTCGTTTGGTTCGATGGTTTGAATATTGATGTCGAAATTTGACATTCTTATTTACAGTGTCTTCTTTTAACATTATTTTCAATTTGGTCTAGTTTGCTTGGTTGAACATAATTTATCTCATTATTCTTGGCATCACACTGATTGGTCTTTTCTTATTGCTTATTCCACAGATTATACATGTGAATAATAGGAAAGGTGGACCCATTGGTCTTGCTAGTGCCTTCGCAATTGCGATGCTTCTTCTTTTTATAATAATTTGTCTTACTGCTTTTATCATCACAGTAAGTATTCGATCTATTTTTCTCAATTTACATATAATTTAAAATTTCATTTCTTTCTAGGTATTTATTGTAAAATTTGTCTTCAAATTGGTCAGACTTATTGCTAACAATAAATGTTTAACCACATAGCAAGTCTAACTTTTGCATTGATCGAGTATTTTTGAGCCGTGAATGCTTAATATTAGCTTTAGTTTTGTATGATTCTTCGAATACATTTTTTTTTCGGTAAGCGCGATTGTAAGTTTTTGTCTTAATCTACATTTACACCCGATAATTGTTTATCGTCATAGCTCTGTAGACATTGTTCGAATTCTTATTGTAGAAGAGCAACTTGTTATGTTAATGAATCTCATTTTATAAAAGATCTCCAAAATTATTGTCAATTGATAAAATCATTTTCATTCACTTCATTTTTATGGAATTTGTTCACATTTGAGAATGTTTGCTCAAGCTGTTCTTTTCCAATGCTAATTTATTGAAATCTTTCTCTGAATTCTTCATATATAATTACATAAATTTATTTCTGAGTGTTAGAAGCAAAATGACAAAGACAAACAAATATAAAAGAATTTTATTCAAATTAAGTTAAGACATTTGTTGTCATAATTTTTTTTAATTCAAATAAATTAACATAAATCGAGATAAAAACAATAGAAGATAGACTCGAATTACTTTAGAACTGATAAAATTTACGCATCTTTCTCAAACTTAACTTCATTATTCATCGAACCCTATGAGATCTTTCGTAGGTAAAAATTTTTCAAACTTGATTATTTTTTAATAGTCTAAAATTTGCTTGATAAAATACTTCCCAATTTGTTGTGCAAAATATGTTTCGTCTTGGATGTTGCTCTTCTTATGTCTATATTAATAGAACCTCTTGCATTGTTTCTCGATTATATACGATGCTTTTTCCATCGAAATTTGATCGAGAAACACGAAATTTATTAAAATATGATATTCGTACAGTTACAAGTTTTGATCATATTTCATTATTTAATAAATACTTAATTGATATCGATTATGTGTTGAGTGAAATAATAATATAACATGAAAATGATTTTTTTTTTATTTCACAAAGCAAGCCATTTCGTATACAAAAAAGATCGAATAAAAGCTAAACAAGACAAACAATATCGAAAATAAACCATTGTTGATATTCTAGACAGTTCATTCAACTATAGGATGATGGATGTACTTGTCTTAAAAAACATGAAAATCTTCTCATCATGCATCGATAGAGATGTAACGAATACCAGGCGAAAACTTGTAGAAATACAGTCAATCCACCTTACAATCCAAGCAATGTTGTATGTATGTAAATAGCAGTGTTTTGTTTGGTATGATGATATTGACATGTCGATGGAGCACATGATTGGACCATGTTATCAGACACTAAACCAAGATTGCTATAAGTAGAAGCTAAATCAGAATAATTATCAGGAAGAACTTTTTGAAGAATTTCAAGTTAGTTTTGATAATATACAAGTGCTTCTAAGTAATTGGTCATGTTGGTATGCATTAAACGAATATTTTTATAATATGTAGCTAAATCAGGATAATTTTCAGGAAGAGTTTGTTGTTTGATTTTGAGTGCTCTTTCACGAAAGGACAGGGATGCATTGGCAACGAAATCGATCCATTAGAACTTTCTATGGTAACTTTATTGAATCGTATATCATTCAAAAGAGCATGTTAAAATTAACATTTTGATATTATTTTCATGAAATTTCGATCGATGTTTCGAAGGAAAAGGCTATTTACAAAGTTATTCATTTTTGGTCTTGTACCAAATAATCGACCATATCCACGGTCAACCCACTTTTAATATAAGTTGATAAGGAAAAATAGTTGTGAAATTAAGTATTTGATAGGGCTCTAGTCCTATATAAGAATAAGAGTTCCTTGTTCGATTCAGTCAGAAACAAAATCTCAGATATTGGTAGACGCGGTTGACATATGGCCTATATTAATCACTAACTTTTATATTTCAATGAATATTTTATTAAACGAATCAAAAATATCAAAATTCTATTATAGCTCATCTGATAGTACTTTTCAAATTTTACAAAATTGTACATTTTCTATAGTCTAAAAAATATGGGTACTAGGAAAGCTTTTAGTCAAATTATGCTAGAGATACGACTTAATGGTCATTTTCACTAGTAATGTACCTTTGTTTTTTACGAAAGTTCTATTGTAAATCAATACTGATATCAGATTCGGACCCAACATTGAAAACAGAGTGGACTAATACATATTTCAAACATCTCCGGCGACTTTCGTTTTTCTCGAAAAACTCACCTAAACCTCCTCTCACGCAACAATATTTCGAAAATACCTTCAGGAGTAGAGTGTAGGTTAGGGGTGTCACTTTTGCGTTCCGTTCCTAGGAATGGGAACGCCAAGCACTTAAACGTAAAAGGATGATAAAATATATTTACTATTCTCACCATACTAAAACATAACTAGAAAAAACAATTTTGAGAGGCGTTCTCGTTCCTAAGAACGGGGAACGGGAACGCGACAAGTGTTTCCTTCACCTTAATAAAACTTTTCCAATTCCATTGAGTTAAAGATAGTTTCTTACAAATTAAACGTTTTTACAAAGTTTCACCAAAAGCAACCGAGGTCGAGGAAACTGAATCTGTACTCGGTTTCTTAAGGTTTTGAGTTTCATTTTTTCATCATGGAAAGAGTTTTTTCCGAAAACAAAAATTTTTATAGAGTGTGACCAAAAACCAGAGACCGGAGAATCAAAATCTGGAATCGATTTTCCGGAATTTTGAGTTCGTTTTTTCAAGAAAAAAAGATTTTTATGAAAAAAAAGATGTTTTTCAAAAAAATAGTGTAACAAAAAAATTATTCCTCTGGAAAAACCTATCCTCTTTACAATAAAATAATTGTGCAAGGATTTCTTTCTTGCTGAAAGCTTAGTTTATTTCGGTAAGAAAATTATTTTGTCATAAAAGTAATAACTTTTTATAAAAGAGATAAATTTTTAGCAAAAAGATGTTTCTGTTAGAATACAATACTGACTAACAGTATCTCCTCTCGGATCTCAGCCATTATGCGAGCTGTGGCGCTGAAAATCGCAGTTTCGACGATGCTCGATAGATCTAGATGGAAAGAAAAATGGTGTGAGTGTGGGTGTGGGTGAAAAGACATAACTACCCACACCGACATCCACACCCACACGTCCACCCCACACCCACACCCTGTTGTCCATATGCTTCAAAGAGGAAGCCATTTGCTTGAGTATTTGAGTATCTAAACCTGCGGCAGTATCTATACACTCAGCACAGTGCCATTTCCCTCTAGTAACTGATATCAGGGTGAAACTTTTAGAGGATGTTACGTAACTGTGAAGCATCCTAAGCTCTATGCTTAAGATCTATACAGTCGTGATGGGTGTGGGTGTGAGTGTAGGTGTGGGTGTCGGTATATGTTATTGATCGATTCTATGAAATCTTATTATTTCGATAAGAATATTTATTTTATTTCCTATGATAATATGAACTATTCAATAATTTAATTTGCCACTATTATTCGAAGTAGACAACAAAAAAAAACGATCGCTAGACAGTGCGATATATAATGCGATATACAGATCAACCAGCTTTAGTTCTATAGTTAAATAATTGGCTATTCTCTGATTACTAATATCCTATCGTCATAGAGTCGATAGTTCAGATAAACATATTATATGTGTAATAAATGTAATCAAATGAGATAAATAAAATAATTATTTATGGTTAATTAATTTAAAATAAGTCTAATAAAGCTTACTTTGATTGATTAAAATTACAAATATTTAACAGATACATGACTATATTTTTGAAGAATCTTTTTTGTTTCATCATGTCTGTATTAAATGAATTCATTAAAACCAATGGTACATCACAACCATATGCATGATTGAGTTGCTTGAAAAAAAATACAATAATAGAGAAAAATATTTAATAATAGTATTGTTCAAATTAAAATAAACAATAAAAATAGTTTACTTCAATTTGTTGAATAGTTAAATCAAGAAAAGTGAGACCACTGACCATAGAAATAACACTTTTTTGCTCCTTGACAACCCATTGTTCTACCAAGGTCACCATTCAATTTAACAACAATTAACTTATTTACTAATTCTTTTGCATCATCAGTATTCGATTCAAGTAATTTTTCATATGGAAGTATCTAAAACAAACTATTTTTTATCAAGATAATATATATATTTATTTATACTTGAACATACTATACTTTCTGGTGGTAGTCAAATATCTTCCCAATCGATTGATGCTTGATCAGTATTATCAAGTAAATAACGATTAAATAATTAATTGTTCATATCCATCAAGTTCTAGTCGAGTATTAGGGTATGGGTGTGGGGTGTGGGTGGGGGTGGGTATGGATGTGCGTGTGGGTGTGGGGCGTGGATATGGATGTGCGTGTGAGTGTGGGGCGTAGATGTGGGGCGTGGATGTGGGGTGTGGGTGTGGAGGGGGGGGGGGGGGGGAGTCATGTTATTCGTCGAAAAATTATTGTCGAAAGGCAGTTGGTCGAAAAATTATTGTCGAAAACTTTTCGTCAACACTACATTTCGTCGACAGGACACTTCGTCGACAAGACACTTCGTCGAAAAGCGTTTCGTCGACACGGCTCTTCGTCGAAAAACATTTCGTCGACACGACACTTCGTCGACAAAGCACTTCATCAATAAACTCAGATAGATATCTGTTTTTCGTTGAAAGTATTTTCTTGGCTATGGAGAGTACTCCAAGTGTAAAGGTGAGGTGAGCGTGAGGGTGAGGGTAAGGACATGTAGGCGTACTCCATATGTGAGGGTGAGCATGACGTGAAGGTAAGGGTGAGTGAGAGTGAGCACGACTGTGAGAGCAATAGCCATGCAAGACACTCCAAATGTGTAGGTGAGGGCTAGGGCACTACAAACGTGAGTATGAAAGAAAATTCACTGTCCTCTTAATTCTGAACAGTTCTGTAGAAGAATTGACGGATCCGGAATTGTCTCGAGGACTACAACCTTGCCTTGAAGTACTTTTCGACGAAGAGTATGTAATTCTATTCAATAGTGCCCTGAAATTCTTCCACCATTGCCAAAGGGACAAAGTTAATTAGGAAATACTTTTGAACCTGTCTCCTGACGGCGAGATAAATAAGAAGAAAATAATTCACTTTCAACGAAATGCTTTTCTACAAAAAAATTTCGACAAAAATTTTTCGACAAAGTTACTTCGACGAAAAGTCTGTCGACCAAAGTGCCGTTCGACAAACAACATAGCATTCGATGTGGGGTGCGGGTATGGGAATGAATGTGAGTGTGGGTGTGGGTGTTGATCATCTGTTCACACATATCTACATCCACGCCCACACCCACCCACATTCATACCCATTGATCGACTATTGTTCGAAATGGACGTATATACTTTATGAATAAGCATCATTGACGATTATTCAAATGAGTTATATATATGTATATATAAGTTAGACATTCTTTTCTCTATTATCCATCTCTCCGTTGTCCATTCATTTACTTACTTGATAACGTTGATTCTTAAGAGAATAATGGTTGAAAAAGAAATAGATAATGAACAAGTAATTTTAGCTTTACGTTTTGATGAACCATTTATTTAGAATTTTTGTTTTAGAAAAACAAGAATGATGCTGATAAACTTCTTCAATTGGGCAAAAAATATGAATCTGGTGAAATAACAGTGGAACAATATTTACTTCAATCAAAGGAAATTCTTCAACAACTAGGGGTGGGAAGTTACTGTTACCGTTCCCGGGTAACGGTAACGGAATAGTTACCAGTTCCCGGGTAACTTCTTTAAAACGAAGAATTATGACTTTCTATGATCGAATTTTGTCGATAGATTAATTTTTAAATTTCGGAGTTACCCGGTAACTGGTAACGGAAAACCAGTTACCAGTTACCGGGTAACTCCGAAATTCAAAAATTAATTTTTTCACAAAATACGATCATAAGAAGTCATAATTCGTCGTTTTAAAAAGGTTACGCTGAAAAAGTAACTGGTAACTTTTTCCGTAGCAACCGTTACCGTTCCCGGGTAACGGTCCCGGAACGGTAACTTCCCACCCCTATCAACAACACGAGCAAAAGAACAAATAACCTTCAATTAACATCTGGTTTTTTTTTATTCACATCTTGCTCGTATTTGATTCACATGTTCTTCTTATTTGATTAACATCTTGTTCTTCTTTGATTAACATATTGTTCTAATTTGATTACAAAGAAAAGAAATAAAGTTATAAAGTATTGTAAACAAAACTTATAAATTTTTTCTGTCTTGACGATCAGCTGATGACTTTCTAATAGAAAAGGGAACTTCTATTTGTATTGCAACGAATTGAATGATTAAGAGATAAATTGAACTCTATACAGTTCTTTTCACATCCACAGTCAATGAAAAACACTCAAGTTAATCTTAGTTCTGTTTGCATAAGAACGTTTGATCAAGACAAAAATAGGTCGAATCCTTGTATACTGATCGCTGCAACAACATGTGAAATAAATTTCCTTATTGTATGGTTGAAAAGATAGTTTGAAGTTCGCTGCAACTTATTCTGTACACATATGTTTTTGAGCTTATGCTGTTTGTTATAGGAACATTAAATATTATAGTGCTCAATGAACAATTAAAACAAGACTATATGATTAGTTTATTTCTGAATGAATTCTCGCCACCTTTTTAATGTATCTGACTATGATAATGGCAAACAGTAAGAAAGAGTGGAAATCAAGGCTGATAAATGTATTCTTTCATTTTCAGCTGTAAGCATTCGAATTCTTTTGTACTGTTAAGGTGAACCTTTGTATATATTTCTAAATAGATATGAATGATCTTATTAAGTAAATAATAACTTGTTAGGATTTGATAATTGTGTTTAATTGAATTCGAATGTGAAATTTGTTAATTATTAAAATTGAATGAATATGTATCTGTTGAAAATCATGGATCTTAAATAATCGTTATATTTTATTTTATTTACTCGTTTCTTCTCTATCTACTTATCACTTGTTGTTAAAAGTTTCCCTTGACAATAAGTCAATCCATTTTTCTCCTTCTTGACGACCATTAGTTTAGAATATATGTGAATCTATTTAAGATGATTTAATTTTATCATTTTCGTATTGATTAGTTTTTGTACATAAAAATGGAATTTAAATTGATGGAAATAACAATTTCACCTTGTTGTCAGAAAAAAGAATTAGTAAAAGCATTAAACGTTTCTATTTGATGAATAAGTTTCATTGAATTCCATATAAAAATAAGTCATCGATAGAAATCATTCTATATAATAGTCTCCACTATCGAAAATCGAAAAATCATTAACTGAGTTATATTTACTGTCAGCTTTGTAAGTGTTTTGTTGCATTTCATTTCATTATAGAGTTCTTGTCTTAACTATTGGTGAAACCATAAAAGATTTCGTATTAAAGATGTATTTATTTCATTCTTAGATTAATCATCTAATTTAAATGAAGTTAATATTGTTGATTTCTATATTGAATATTAAATGAAAAATGAGTTATTCTTTCACTCAATTTTTTTTTCAAAAACAAATTATTGATAAAACCGTTCCATATGGAACGAATACGTGTAATCAGATAGAATATTTCTACTACATTAAAGACATCATGATATATAGACTTCAATAGAATATATACTAAACATTAAATTTTTAAAAAGATTAAAATCATCATCGAAATTACTGTAGAAGTTCTTTTGGAAATCGATGAAAATAATATGGATTTATAAAAGACATCACCAGAAAATATTTTTTTTGTTTTATAATATTCTGTTTTGTATGATTTCTCGGATATTTTTCGTTAGTTCATATAAATATCTTTGCTTCTGTCTTGTTTTAGACAATATGTTTGATTACTTCGTATCTTTCTATTTAATTCCTAAATATGATTATTATTTTCTGACATCATTTTAATTAATCAGTGTTTTAGATCATACATTATTCATTGTATATGAATGTATAAACATTTAATCAAATGTTTATTTTAAAATTTACTTAACAAAAGTGATTCTTTTTCCAATAAAAAAACCTCGATGTTAAATTGTGAGACAAACCAGTGTTTACTCGATTTGTCTCTTATATTAAGAATACATAAGATTAACAAAATTTTTAAACTGTTTGCATTTCTTGTTTGCCTTTTTCTGTTCTAAAAGATCGATCAATCTTTTTAATATATAAGTCATTCATCTTATATTGATTCAGGTGTAAAACAAATTCATATAGATGAAATAGATGGCGAAGACATAACGGATTAAACCTCTTTTAAATGAAACAGAATAAAAATGTGAAAAAAATAATGAATAGTTTTATTTAAGATACTTAAATATCGATTTACTCATAAAATATTTTATTTAAAGTCAATAGTTATATACAATAAGAAATGAATAAAAAAAGAAAAATGTTTGAAGAATGAGTTAAGATATAACACAACATGTTAATTTTCGTTTATGAATTTTTTTATTTGATGAATTTATTTTATTTGAATTTGATTGATCGAGATCAAATCTTTGAGGTAATTGTGGTGGTGGAGGTTCATCATAACGTTTTCGTATAACTGAAGGAGGACGAAGCGATGGAGGTGCGTCATATCCTTGAACACGTGGTGGAGGATTTGGTGGAGCGTGACGTTTATGCGATCGTCGAATAGGTGGTGATGGTGGTGGAGGTGCTGAACCAGTTGGAACTTCAATTAAACGAAATGGTAAATCTTGAGCTTTAACAAAACAACGATCGTTTCCCATTTATTTTATATGAAATAATTATTCTTTATTTTAAATAATAACACGTATGAATTGATTAAATTTTATCACGTTTTTTTTTTCTTTCTTGCTCATCTGCTGTTTTTGACCGATAACCTACACATATCATCGACAATAATTATACTCATTCTGTTTCTTTTCTTTTTCTTTCCTTCAACTACTCATCATTCGAATGAGAAATATATCAGATGTTTATTTCTTTTCATTTCGTTTCTTCTTTCTGTTCGAAATAAAAGATGCATATCTTTTATTTATACTAATTAATATAAATAATGTTTATTTTCAATAAAAATAAATTTATTTCCAATTGATTTTATTAGAAAAAAAAGCAAATTATGTTTTATTTTTTTTTACAAGTTAATATAATGTCATCTTTATTTTAGTTCAAAGAAAGAAAAAAAACTTTTTGTTTTTCAATAATCAATAAACAAATATACAAAGTTAATTTAAATGAATTAATCCATAAGATCTCCATTATCATTTAAATCATCATCATGAAGAGTACGTGGTGATGATGCTGGACTTTGAGGAGAATATTGAGGTGATGTTGGACTAAACAAATCAAACTTAAAAAAAAAGGGTGTAGGTGTAGGTGTGCGTATGATGAGAAGATATTCACACCCACACCCTTCCAAAGCTTGAATGATATTATCAAAGAGAAAGACCAAGTAAAATCTCAATTTGAAAAGATATTTTTCTTTTTTTTTACCTTTGATAGATGATGCAGGTGAATTATCGAATGAGGAAGAATATTCTAATTATGAAATTGATTTTGTTTCACATGTAAGATTCGTTAGTTTGAATATGAGAATGAAAATCTAAGGTTTTAAAAAAAATTAGAAATAAATTAGAAAGATATTTTTTGACTAATTTTATTGAAACTAACGAATCGTTTGTGAGATTTCAATTATAATAATATCAATTTTTTTAAAATTTTAATCCAATGTATTTGTTAAACAAGAAATATCTCGTTCATTTTTATTAATTATTTTTATTCAGAGGTATAAGTCATACTTTAATAAGAGACCCAAAAAAAAATGCAGATTTTTTATGACAATAAAACATGAAGAGGGGAGAATTTCATTTTTCAACGCAAATAAGATTACTACTGTGCTTTTTGATAATAATTATTAAGAAATTACAATCATCTTTTTTTAGTGAAGATCACAGTACGGACTATTTTAACGAGTAAAATGTAATGATGACATTCGCAATCGCTTTGATTATTTTCTATTTTCGGGATTTTCGTTTACCACCTTTTGTTAGTGATGTAGTCATTTTCAACTTTTTCACTGTTGACACTTTGCTTTTCAACGTTTTGACATTCATTCTTTTTCGCTTTCTACATTAAAATTTTCGAGTATCTTCATCGTCCTCATCTTCCTCTTCAACTTCGTCTTCGCTGTCTCTTTCTTCCTGTGTCTTCTTCATCTTCTTCCCATTCATTCGATTGATAGTAGCGAGGGTTATTGAACAGTGTAGTGTACCCAGGTCAAATAATCTGACGATAAGATCTTATACGATTCTTACAAGAATATACACGATCTTAATGTAAGATCTTGTATGATTGTATAAGACCGTATGAAAATCATACAAGATCTTGCACGATTCTATATGATAATCTTAAAGCCACCATTTCTGATAAAATCGTACTGTACGATTCTTATATGATCTTATTGTCCGATCTTGTAAGATTTTATACTATTCATGCAAGATTGTATACAGCTATCGTACGCATTGCATCACTGATTTTCTTGTAATATTCGCCGCTCTCTAGCTTGGTTTTCTAGCCACTGATTTGCTTATGTTGATCTCTTTTCTTCAGAAAAAAAGTGTGTGCAACTATCTTTTTATCGTCCTGCTTCCGTTTAAGACTAAATTTATTCTTAAAAAAAACGTACAAAACGATTTCATTATTGTAACATTGAAAAATACAATTAGATGAAATTAGTTTTATCAAAAACAAATCAGAGTTCGCTTTGCTGATAATTTCAATATTGTCTTTAGGCAATCGATCACAGCAATACAAAATAAAGGCGAATATTAAAATGAGCTTAAGTAATTACATAACTATAACTTGAAAAATGGTTGCAATCATGTTATATTAGATAAGATTATTTTAAATCGATTGTAAATAAATAATGTGTCAAAATAATTTTATTTTTATTGAAATAGTGAAATCAAGTAATTAAATAAAATTATTTTAGTGTAATTTGAATGTATATAAATAACTCTAATACAATAGTTTTATTTTAATCGAACAAAATGAATGATCACATTCAATTAATTTCTGTTAAATATAATATTAAAAAATAGGTATTTGGTTGAATTGATTTTGGTCTAAAATAAAAATACAATAAATCTATTAGATTAATTTTGTTTTCATTAGGATGAAATATTCACATTGAATTGTTTTTATTCTAGTATAACATAAATTAAGTAATACTGTGAAATAAAATAAAAAATCTAGTGTGATTAAATCGATTTCATTGTATTTTAATTAGTAAATAGATAATAGTATTAGATTATTCTAATTTAACGGAAAATAAGTCAATTATTGATATTTAATGGAATTTATTTTGGTTCACATTGATTTAAAATAAATAAAAAAAAAACAAATATCATTTTTTCTAATTAAAATATATCATGAAAATATTAAAAAACTATTCGATGAAATAGAAAAACAGTAAAATAAAATCAGTAGAATTTTCATTATATAAAAAAAAACTGAAATAATTTTCAAAATTTGTATCTGAATATAAAATAAATTAGTCGTATTTTGAAAAAAAAATACTATGTATAACCGTACCCAACCGAACTGAAACGTATATAACATGATTGTAACGGTTTCACGCCTCTTTATATGATCGATTGTGACCATTATCGTGTTAGAAGTCCTGTATGTTGAAGAGTTAGAGTAAGATAATTTTGAATAATTTCATCAAAAAATAAAAAAGATAATACTTAATCGTATTTCTAGACAAAAATATGGAGAACACCTTTTTTCTATGAGCGTAAATGACTAAACAAATTAGTGAGATATCTTCATTAACCAACAATAAGTTTGTCTAAATCAAATGAATACGATTAGTGATTTGATTTTCACAGAGAAAAGCACCACTGAAAGATGTATTTTTAATTCGAAAAGACGTGAGTTTTAATTAGAACACATTCAATTCTTGAATAATTATTTAAACTCATAAACTGTATGGTTATAAAAAAATATGTTTGCACAAGAAAAACCTAAATTATGATCTTACAAGATCATACAATATCTGATAAGATTATGATCTTACAAGATCATACAATATCTGATAAGATTCTGATCATCAGATTTTGCAAGAATCTTACAGCAAGAATCATATAAGATTTGTAATAGCATCTTACAGTAAGAAACATATCAAATCTTACAGTAAGATATTTGTACGATTCTGCAAAATCATACAGTATGAATCTTGCAACATCCGATTGTCGGTAAGATCTTGTAGGATCTTATACGATCTTTGTAAGATTTTTCCGCCTGGGTAGGTTCCACAGCCATTGAGGGATGAGTAGTATGTTGATCCATCACTATTCTGATAATAGTAGGATCCATCTCGATTGGAATAGTGGTATGAACCTGTATTAAAATGAACGAAGAGAGATCTGGTGTCACTCTCTCAACTGAGAAACAAGATAGCATTACAATAGGTTCTTAGTGATAGTACATCATGGTCCTTGCTAATCGAACAAACCTAAAACTAAGCTAATATCGAACTCTATGCGGTATCTGTTGTCAGACAGTAAAGCTTTCTGATTTTTATCAAGACAAGTTCATTGTGTATCTTCTAACATAAGACGAAAGGTATATATGCTAGGAAACTAAGTTCTGGAAAAATCATATCATTACAATTCAGGAATAATCTGAAAAAGAATTAGAATGCTATATAGTTTAAGCAATCGTTCTAAACTATTTCTGTAAAGATTACTGATAAAATCATAAAGGTAGTTCTCAATCTTTGAATAATAAACGTATGACATACCACCTTCTGCAGCACCCTCGCCGCGATTATCGTATCGATTGCTAAATTGATTGATACCTCACCACTTTGTTTTATGATACGTTATAAACGGAAAATAGATTTTGTTTCAATGCCTTTATTTGGTAGATAAGAAAATATGTGAAGACAACATAGAGAGATGAAAAACACATTATAAAAAATAAAGAGACACGTGACATTTTGCATTTCTCGCATAGATTTATCTTGATATATATGCCACATCGAGAGAAAAACAATGTAACAGTACTGGTTTACTCTCAATCTAGGTTATTCTTTGAAATAGTCTGAAAGAACACTGTCAAGCTTTATTAAATAAATGGGCACTTTTAGTGAGAAGCAAATGTTTCGGTAACAACGGTGCATAATTTCAATGAAGTATGAAAAGTAAACAATATTCAACATGATATTGCAAAAAAAAATTCTGTTGAAATAATTTTTGTTCACATTAAATTGATCTAATGATATTTTTTATATGAATCTACTCACTATGAGATCGAGGGTGTTGGGATGTGGGTGAAGAGAATATTTACACTCACAACATACCCACACCCACACTCTCTCTTATATCCTGCCATGGAGACATAAATATATCTTTAGTGTAGTATGAAAATGTAGTCTGCAAAACCAGCTCGAAATATATTCGATAGAAACGTTCTTCTATTAATATTTTTTATTTTTTCCTATGCGTTCCATTACATTGTTTTCATGTTTTCTTTATTGATTTTCTTCGTTTTCCTATAATACATGCGAAAAACATTATAAACTATCTTAAATTACACTGAACAAAGTTAAATGCATAGCTGTAGCTAGTTTTCGAACAGGTGCTCGTTTCGTTTTGCACAATAATTTTTCCACATACCCGATATTAACGTTGCGCCATACTATGCTTTACTGACTAAAAGATATGAATATATGTTAAAGCGGCAGCAACTCAGACCATTCGTTGTTTCTGTATTAATACGCTTTCAAGAAATCGCGCCTCTCGAATCTTGAAAAGTTTTTGTCAGTTGTCATCATTTTTCACATTCAAGTTTGAGGATATTTTGAAGGTTTGTTTTTCAATGATGCAATGATCGTAATGTCATATGATGTTCGTACCAGATTCTTAGAGAAATAAGCAACAGATTTAATGAAGAAAAAGAGGACAAAGTTGATAAATATTGAGAGATTGTTTTTTTTAACTGCAGCTATTTCGAGCTGCTATTACAGACTACATTTTCATACTACATTAAAGATGTATTTATTTCTCAATGGCAAGACAGGACATAAGAGAATTTATTTGAATACAGGGTTAAAAAGCTCGTGCGACGCTGATTCTGAATAGCTATTTTTGATTATTCCAAAACAAGTTTCAACCTAGAAAAAATAGAGCGACATTTTTCCAAGAGATTTTGCAACACTTTTTATGTTTCATATCAGTTATCAAATGTTCATAACTATTCATTAATGTGTTCAAACATGCCACATTTGATCCATGTTGGTGTTTTCAATATTTGTCCCTTTCCGATAACATACAACGGTGTCAGATCTGTTTGATTCAACACAACAATATCAGCATCATAGCCTTCCGCCAAAAAGCCTTTTCCTGTCAAATTGAGATATGTCGCTGGATTCGATGTTGAAAATTGGATCGCTTCTTCTACAGGCCATGAATATTTTAACACTAACGTTTGTATTGTTCTCAGAATTGTATCTGGAAGACTCATGCCGTAAGATGCTAAACGACCGGAGGAGTCGTATTTAGGAAATGATCTAAATAAAAAAGTAAATTTTATTCTCAAGATCGAGTTCGACTGAGAAATCTTTTCGAATCAATTCTTGTACTAAAATATCCAACAATAAACAATGTGCAGCTCATAATAGAAACGGCTATGAAATTATCTATCAGCTTCCATTGCGTTTATCCATTATTTGAAGCTTGTACATCTGATTAGATTCGGAAAACATAAAAAGTTAATCAAGATGATGCATTTGTTAAGTGAATACTACTCGATTTGTACTATCTGACATACATAGTAAAATGAGCTCTATCATGAAATAATATCCATACCCGTAAGCATCACTTGATACTGTAATTTGTTTCAATGGTAGTTTCTCTGCTCGAAATTTATTCAACGTATTAACAGTTGCATTTTCATTGATAATGTTCACATCAGCTGTAAAGTCGCACATACCACCAGCTTTGATCCATTTTCTGGCTTCTTCAATCAGATCATCTCCTCGCGATGACATATGAGTCAAATACATATGCTGAATCGGAATTGTTGTTTCATTTAAAATTTGCCAAAGTAAATCAATTTTTGTTGGAGCTGAACCCAGATGAAAATGGATCACACCTAATTTTCCACTGAGCATTCCAGCGACTCGCGCATCACTAAGGAGCTGTACAAGATCAGATTTCGATGGCCAACTCGATCGATGATCACTGAGTGCTAACTCACCGGCTCCTATGACTTTATCAATCAGGAGTAAATCTTGTTGCAGTGATCCGGTTAGTGTAACGATAGGAATACGATAACTACCAGTCCACATCCATGTTGTAAGACCCTCGCGTTCCAGACCCTTCGATAGAAAATTAATGCAGGGAAAAAAAAGAAACATCTGTCAGATTCTCGCTCTGGAAATCGTATAGTATGTCCTGAGTCTATTTAGAATTTCTGAAGTTTTGTTCGATAAGTAGTTTATTTTTGCATATTGAATGTTGTTAATATAAAGAACTTACTTTCGTTTTTTGTAGCAAGGATGACAGACTAAAGGAAAGAACCAATATTATGATCAATTTAAAAAACAAACCAAACTGATATTCTTCAAGATGTGCTGCTAGTTAACCGTCTTACACGATAAAAATATACATAGAAACTCCTGATTGAATTCATAGAACAGTGTTTTTCTCTCTGAGAAATGAACACTCCGAATCATTGTGCTATTATTTATATGAATGAAGTAAAGAAAACAGTCGAATTTGGCTAACCTTCTGGTGACACCATCAGTTCCAAGTATGCCGACAACCGTCGTCAATCCGCCTCTTATCAATTCAGATAAACGACTTTCAGGAGTTCGAGAATACGGACCTGAAAGAGAAATAAACAAAGCGAGTCTTTGACACATTTGACAAAATCAAAGTCAAATTTAACTAAGACTTTATAGCCTGCTCATTGGCAATGTTAGTAAGCGAATCAAACCGGTGCAGGTTTTTAGAGATCATTTCTGAAAAATACAACAAGCTCTTCCTATTCGACAAACCTTGTTCTCCTCCACCTCCGATAGCATGAACGTGAACATCGATGAGTCCCGGAATAATGAGTTGATCTTCAACTGAAATAGGCAGAATGGTCAGCTCACTATGTCGGATAGAATCAATAAATGAAACCGTTTTCGATGGATCCATCATGGCAAGTATTTTTCCGGCTGCGATAACCACGTCCTTTCGTTGGGGCGTGCAAACATTTTCTGGTGTTGTATTGGTCGAATTCGGAAGTCCGTAAACTTTTCCACCGGTTAAAACAATCATTGAATAAGATTCATTGAATGGAGACGGCAGTTGAAGACGGGTAGAAGCATCATGAATTGGGTGGTACTGCTGAAAAAAAGAAGTATAACATCAATGTTGGACAGAATACACTTCGTTCTAAGGTTCCCGGAAGAGGTATATTCAGATTTCCAAAAAAAGAAATTACAGAAATTTCCGAAGCTTCCATCAACTCGATAATTACATAGCAAAGCAAATGAAAAGTTTTTGAGAATATTGGAAATTTTTAAAATTTCGGAAGTTTCGCTAGGTACAGAATTTCGGAAATTACATAATTTTGGGAAGTACCAAACAGTTTAGAACACAAGTGCTTGAAATCTTCTAAACTTCCGAAATTTCCCTTTTCGGAAGTCTGAACACTGCTAGAAGAAAGCGTGTAGCCACGGAATTTCAAGATTCCAGCAGAATTGAGAACAAGATTAACCAAGATTCTGAACTGATAACTACTAGATTTAGAACAAGGAGTTCGTTCAAGAAACCGTGAACCCTGAAAGAAACGTGTAGCCATAACATGGCAAAGTTTCATGCAGGATTTAAACAAGATCTTAGAAGGATTCTAATAATTTCTCATTGAAAAAAAATTCTCAATATATCTTGCAAGATCTTACTAGTAAAGTATTGACCTCCAGATCTTCAGTTTACAAATAATCAGCTTACCTGGCTGGATTGTGCCATCTTATTGTATATAACTTCAATGTTCAGTATCCTAATTTTTGCCTTTAATATTCACTTCTATTTTGAATTTTATATGAAAACAAATTATCTAGAAAAAACTTTTAAAATACAAATATCTTATTAAATATTTATTCGAATAGATAAAATTTTAATCTTTTTTTGTGTCTCAATTCTATTTTAAAAACATATTCTTAATCTTTTTTTTTTACAAAATCGAAACTATCAACAATTTTTGCTAGAAGATTTGCTCCTCACTAAAACTATCTATTTAATGAAAACAATTGTACAATGATTAAATTGACAGTAACACCCTAATTTAATGATTTCTCAATTTCTCTTTCAGAATAAGATTTAAAAAAAAATAACTTGTAGTTGTGATTCAAATCTCAGATCATTTTCAATAGAAATTTTTAAAAAATCTAAAAAAAAATTCGATGATTTTAACAGAATCTCTATATTTTGTTTATGCAAAGGTCCGAATCAAGATCAGTATAAAGATCCCATCCGGTTATTCAATTATCAGAATTCTATCGTGGTCGGAGCAAAAAACAATAGAAGCTTGAAAAATTCTTTTCTAAAACCAGATAAAATCTTCATAGAATCTTAAAAATCAGATTCTAGATAGACTGTAAACATAAACCTGCAAAGACTTTAACTAAATCCTTGCATCTTCTCCTCAAGATCCTTATCATACTTTTATTTTTATTTTTTTTTGTAAGGATTTGAAATGCTTGTTCTTGAAGAGTTTCGCGCAGTATCCTGGAAGAGCCAAGGAAAGATGCAAATAACAAAAATAAGTAGGAATTGGAGCCGGATCCTGATTGAAGCTTGACAGGATTTATCAGTTTAGGATTCTGATTGATCTTTTTTTTATTCCTGGTAGGATTCTTCTCTGATATAATCATAAATCTTGGCAGGATCTTCGTATCAAGATTCATAACAGGTCTTAGCTAAAACCTATTAAGGGAGGATTCCCTCAAAAATGTAACTTCAACAGGGCACGTGGCATATTGATGAAACTTTGCATAGATGTTGGGCCCATGGAAGTACATTCATAAAAAAAATTTCACGCCTCTATTCTTTATTGTTCAGAAGATATGAGGGTGCCAAGCTGCAAAACAGGGTTCGTACACGGACAAAGTTTTCATCACTATAGTGCACGCTGTAGAGCTCGGGTTGCTTTTATTTAAAAGAGAAATCCTTGCCGCTTCGGATGAGAGAAAGAATTTTTTCTAATTTAGCTTTCGTTCATTTTTCGGATCATTAAAGTCTCAAAAGTCTGGAAATCCTGTATATGGTTTTCCAGAAATCTAAGAGTTTCTCTACCATTCACATGTAATTAAAAAATTTCTTTCTCTAATCTGAAGAATCATGCATATCTCTATCGATTAAGAACAAACTCACAGTTCTCTTGAATGAAATATATGAAAGAAAACTTTGTTCGATGTGCGATCATTACATCAAAAACTGATTCGGAGAAAAACCTAAAAGTATTTTTTTTGTACTATATCTATCTACGGTAGAAGATCAACACAAAATATAGTCATATCATATATTAACTGCTAGAATTAATCAAAGCATGTAGAACTATACTATTGGCGACACGTATAGTTGACAGTTTTTCTTTGGTTTTTGCTTAAATTTTACTTTAATTCCTTAAGAATATTACCAGAGAGTACTTCAAAAAGCACTAGTATCTATCTGTAAGCTTATCTCAAAATTCTTTTCTTTTTTTGAAGCAAATTGACTTTTCTGAGAGAGACCTCCCTTAAAAACCTAACCGAATCCTTTCTATTTTTCTTGTCAAAATTTTCAGTAGAATCGAAATTGAATCCTGGTACGATTTTAAATTTTCAACTTAGAAAAAAATCCGAGCAGAAACTTGAAGAAATCCTGAAAGATCCTTCCAGGTTTTCTCAAGGAATAGATAGGATTGAGAGTAAGGACATAAGCGACACTTGAACAGAAAAAAAATGCTTCCAATAATAGAAAATTTCATCTAGTTATTGCTACTCTGACGATATAATCAAGCGTAAGATCAAATATTCCTTGTTTTATCCGAAATACAGATGAGACTTAGTTAGTAGCATGAGGGTTTTATGTAATTCCAAAACGGTCGTTCAGTGTATACTCCTGCAATATGTAGCTTGTCAAATTTGATTTTTGTATTAAGAAAAATTCGAAACAATTATTAGAACTATTGATTGATTCCCGTTTCGTCGTTCTAGTAACATCAATCGTTTAGAATTGAAACGAGTTCGAATATATGATTTGATTTAAGCTGTTATTGTGACTTTGTCCTGAACAATAAGGCATAATTGATACGAAAAAATAAAGATTTTGCATGACTCATTTGGATATGGACAATATTATGAGTGGCCTATTTCTTTTTATATGACTAACAATCATTAGGACAAGGGCTCGTATGATCGAGGTAGGTAAATATTTGATAAAGTATATTCATGGATGAAAAACAACACGAAGATGATAAGGGAAGAGAAACGAGCCAAAAATGGCTGATAAACAATATGCGAGCAAAGATATTTATATGTACACGTGAAAGAGAGTGAGAAAAGGCGAACGGTAAGAAGCAAATGATGAGGGTGTGGTGGATGTCGACGTGAATGTCAGTCAAGAATAGACGCATATCCACACTCAACATTCATAATAAAACTCACTCACACTCCATACCCACCCTATTTTCTATTTAAGAAAACAAACAATTTTTGCACTTCTTTAGTCAAAGTGAAAAGCTTTGCTCGTATTTCGGATGCTATATAAACAGTTTATTGGGTATATATGACATTTGATAATCAATTGGTTTATGTGGTAAACTATAAAATCGATATTTAGAAATTTTTTCAATAGTTCAAAACTCGAAAATTCCTGATAACTGTATTTTCATCAACAACACTGGCGGATTTTGGTTTTAGTTTTCATCAATTGATGTTAAGTTTTGCTTAGAAAATTATGAAGTTAAAGTGAAACATATGGCCAATACAGATAACTTTGCTACGATCATTGAATAAAAGTAAAGGACAATTAAAATCGCTTGTTTTTAGAGAAGTTTCACGTAATCAAAATTAGACTCAGCAGTCAAAACTACTTATTGTATTAAATTTGCTTGTACTGAAGCATACAAAATTATTCTTTCGTTATGTTTCTTTTCTTCAAGTAGTCGGAATTTTGGTAGATTTCAGGTAGTTAAAATGCGCCGAAGGAGTCAGTAGCATTTTTTGAAAAGGCCTCCTCTTGCCAAATGCTTGAAATTTCGATGAGTGTCGATGGATCGAAAGGTGTTCGAGGAATTGAAAATAAGTAATCGATGCGATACAGTTTTCAAGCGCTCGAAATTCAGTGACTGTCGAGGGGCTCAAAATGTTAACAGAACGAACAAAAAACATATATTTCAAATTTCCGATCACTTGTCACGCTCATTGTATGATATTCAATATCGGCATCAGGCAGCTTATAACAACTGGAATACAGCAAAAACATCAAGTTTCGCAGCGGTTGATATTTATCCAATTGTATTATTTAGTTTTACTCATCATATGATTTAGGAAAAATTAGTGTATGCTTTTTGACAAATATTGTTTGATTATTGAGAAAATCAGTTTTTTTCGACATGACGGCAAAACATTATAAGTATGGATTCATATTTAGAGATTTTTACTATTAAAGCTTGAGTTTCAAATAAAAACAACTTCATATTCAAAATCACTACATATATCTGCATCGAATAATATATTCAATACTTATAAGAAGTTTTAGTTAACTTTCGATCTTTACATTTCCTCAATGTTTTCTTTTTCGAATAATCCGACCTGTCGTTCTCATAAGATCGAAATTTGACGAAAACAGATTTTAAATATTTAGTATATTATTCAATGCAGATATTTATGATGACTCTGAATATAATATTGCTTCCATTTGTAACAAACGCTTTGACGGTCAAAACCTCTGACTACGAACCCGTATTTACTGACAAATAAAACCAAATAATAAAATCGAATATATATCGAACCTAGCGAGATTTCATTCTTTTGATGCATTGTAGTTTATAAAAGCTTTTCTGTTTTTTTGTTAAACCTAATTTCTGCTACAAAATCATTGTTCGATTATGGGGTGTGGGTGTAGGCGTAGGTGTGTAGAAAACTGATACGCACACCCACACCCACATCCTAGATTTCTCCAGCAAATGTTAAAACTCTTTTCTTACTGTTTCTTTATTTTTCATAAGTAAATAACGTTCTCGTAGACTACAAAGACAATTTTGAAATACATAAATCTTAAATACTATCGTATTAGCACATAAGTTCTGCACACTTTTTGTGTTTTAGGCAAATTTGAGACCTTATATCTCGTGATTGAAAAGTGAAAGAAGTCTGAAATTTTCAGTGCCGATAGATCTCTATGACTTCTATCTACACTAAAAATTTCAGACCTCTATCACTTTCCAATCACGAGATATAGCGTCTCAAATTTGCCTAAAACACAAAAAGCTTGCAGAACTTATGTGCCAATACAATAGAATGAACATTATAATGATTAGAACTCTCGAGTCGACATGGGAAAGTTATCTCGAAAAAAAAATATATCTACGATGTATTGATAATAAAATCGCTATGTTCTTGCAACACATTATAACTTACCCGTCCAATACATCCAAGTAGAACAGACTATTACAAGAATAGCGAACAAAGATTATTGAGGCATAAACAACAAAATGATGGAGCAAGAAATAGTCCTGTGATGAGAGAAGAAAAATTGTAGAGCAGAGGAAGATAAATACGCTATCTATACTTGACTATGTAACAGGAGAGCCTTTTCTTTCTGTTCTACAGATTTTCATTTTGTCTAATACAATAATACACATCTCAGATCTAG